GATGGGGTTCCCTTGCTGGGGAACTCAACAAATCCTCATTGGTTCCTAAATTTGTGTTTTGTTTTTGTTTTTGCTAGATGATGAGGTTAAGTGACTTGCCCAGGGTCACACAGCTAGTTAAGTGTCAAGTGTCTGAGGCTGGATTTGAATTCAGGTCCTCCTGACTCCAAGGTCAGTGCTCTATCCACTGTGCCACCTAGCTGCCCCCGCTTCCTCAATTTATGGCATTGGGTTTGGGTTATGATCTTGGTTTTGGGGCTGTATTTCTGGTTCTGATTTGTTGTAACACCAACAATTTTACCCACAGCAGGTACATATGTAAAGTCTGACACTCGGCTTCAAAAACTCAATACCACTAGTACAAGATGGTAGCAGCATGGCTAGATAATTCATCTCAGTGGACTGAAACCTCAATATGAGTCAATGGTTTGATGTAGTATTTAAAAAACGAACACAATTTGAGCCTGTGTTTCTAGAGGCATGGTGTCCAGGCCTAGGGAAGTAGTAGTCCCATTGTTCTCTACCCTCATGACACAGGAGGATGAGGTGACAGAACTAGGGACCCCTAGCTTGGAAAACAGAAGCCTCAGCAGGGACACACATGACAGCTGAGTCAATACCTGAAGGGCTGTCACACAGAGGAGGAGCTACAGCATCTTCTGTTGGCCTCAGAGACCAGGGCTCAGAATGATGGTAGAGGTCATGACAAGGACATTTTAGGCTTGATGTCAGCATAGGGAGCAAGTTAGATGCAGGTGAGGCCACGGTTAAGATGCAGTGGGGAGGAAGGACCAGAAAGGATTGAGTTCTCTCTATAGCTCCATTCACTGGTGTTACAGAAGGAAACAAGTTTCCTAACAGTGACCCCAGAACAGAACAGAACTCCTCTCACTCAAACACTTCTCACAAAGGCTGGAAGACAGCTTTCTGAGGGTGTTGTGAAGGGGATGCTCTGCCTGGTACAGGTTGGATGAGACAGCTTCTGAAGTCCCTTCCCACTCTTAAATTCTTTTTTTTTCTTAAATTCTATGATTCTGAGGAGACTACACGGAAGATGTAAAGGGGTTCTGAGATGTGAGAAGGGGGAAATGACAGAACTCATGATAGATGGTCTCAGTCTCAGACAAGAAATGAGATGAGAGGCACAAGAGCTGAGGGTGTGAGGAGGAAGAGGTTTGGAATAGTCTCTTTGAAGACTATGATAGTTAATCAGAGAAAATTAGAAGGCTTGCTGTGCATCCCTCAGGGGCCTTGTTGGAATGGTTCATTTTAGAGTCAAGACTATGATGGGAGAAAAGGGAGACCAGAACAGAGGAGATGGTTTAGGAGAACAGCAAGTATATGGTTTGGAGGTCATGGTGAGGACAAAAAACAGGCAGAGGGAGAGATGAGAGGACATGGGATTGTGACCACAGAGGAGATTTTCACCATCTAAGATGCTGGAGATGGAACAGTTTCGGGAGGTAGAGAAATTTAAAGTACGCTCACTCCTGTGGTTAAAGATGGAAGATGGCAGATAATTATGGGAGTCAGGAAGGTTGATGAACTTAGAAGCCAGGGTCTCAGAAGGTTCATCACTGAAGTCACCAAGAGGGAGGCAAGGTAGAATTGGTTAATGGAGTTGGGGCAAAGAGTAAAACTATGAGCCAGGTATTGAGGAGTGAAGAAGAGTAGCTTCAAGGTCCACAGATCAGAGCAATAAAGATCGGGACAAAGTGACACAATCAGACGGTGTGAACGTCAAAGAAAGCGTGTTCAGAGGTGATGGCAGGGGAGGATCTAGAAGCAAGGAGTTTGCCAGTTTCCCCTCCTTGCCCTGGGTACTGTAGACATGAAGGGAACAGCAGTCAGCACCGAAGAGGGTGGCCAGGGCTGCAGCACCTTCAAGAGAGTGAGGCTTCAGGTATGAACAGGAAATTCAAGGAGTGTGAGAGGAAGAGACTGAGGAAGATGGGACATTCCAGGTTTTTAGTAAATGCAAGCTGACTGACAGACAGAACAGCACAACAAGGATTCCACATGGCACGATGGAAGGGAAACGCAGTGGGAAGATAGATGGCTAAGATGGATTGGGCTGAGAATGCCAGGAGGGGAAGATGGAGAAAATGACTTTCACCAATGCCAATGGCAGCTCTCAACTATAGGGATCAAAGGAGCAGGAGGTAGGCATTTACTTGCTACAGGGCACAGTGAGGATCAAGGATGGAAAAGTTTACAGACTCTATCAAGGTTCTAGTGGGAACATATACGTGTGAAGAAGCATCTACTGAGCCAGTCCATGTCTGTTTCACAGTCTGTTAGATGGAAATCAAACTTCTTCACTTATTTTGCTCAACGAGAGGTTGGAAGAACAAACTGGGGTGATAGATGAGAGACATGTTGGACAATCATCACATCAGGCATTACTAGGGCCATCGCACCCATTGGGGTAGAATGCAAATGCCATGAGGCCAAGGAATGTTTCGGTTTGTTTTGGTGTTCCCATTGCTCTGCACAGTGCCTGCTGCATAATGGAGGCTTAACAAATGCTGCTGCTGCTTTTTTTTTTTTTGGTGAGGCAATCGGGATTAAGTGACTTGCCCAGAGTCACATAGCTAGTGAGTGTGTTATGTGTCTGAGGCCAAATTTGAACTCAGGTCCTCCTGACTCCAGGGTCGGTACTCTATCCACTGTGCCACCAAGTTGCCCCTGATAAATGCTCCTTAAATTTAAATTTGTCGAATTTCTTATCAACCAACAGCTAGAGAAATAGAATCACAGTATTTTAGAACTGAAAGGGGGCCTTGAAAGATATCCAATCCAACCCACACCTGAATAAAAATCCCCTCTAAAACATAACTAACAAATGGTCCTTTAGCATTTATTTGATGACATCCAGGGAGGTGAAACATACTACTCCCAAAGCTGTCCAGTCAGTCAACTAGCCAGGCCCCGTGCTAAGTTCTGAGGAGAGGAAGCAAGGTCTAACAAGGAAAACACGCAAACAATGATATGCAGGTCAGATCCAGCCCAGGGCTGGGGAGCCTGTGGCCTCGAGGCCATATGTGGCCCTCTAGGTCCTCAAGTGCAGACCTTTGATCAAATCCAAACTTCACAAGTCAAAGGGCCGTACTTGAGGACCTAGAAGGCCACGTGTGGCCTCGAGGCCACAGATTCCCCACCTGTGGTCTAGACTGTAAGTTGGAGATAATCACCAGAGGGAAGGTGCTAACATTAGGGGGACTGGGAAAGGCTTCTTGTATAAAGTGGGGTTTTATCTGCACCTTGTAGGGCAGCCATGAGGGAAGGTGGGCATTCTAGGCAGAGTCAAAACGCTCATTCCACTTTTGGAAAGTCCTGGTTTGTAGGAAGTTTTTCCTAAAGCTTGATATGCAGGCCTGCATTATCAGTTTGTGTATATGTGTTATTTGTGGTTCTTATAACAGAGATAATAATTGCCACATTCTTTTTGTCTGATGCTTTATTGCTTACAAAGCTCAAGCAGAATCAGGTTCTGCTTGGCCCCAGAAGGCAGATGCAGGCTGACATAGCAAAATACCTACGCATGATGCATACCGTCCTGGACTGTGATGGGCCAGCTGTGTGGGAAAGGGGATGCTTGTTCAGGACAGGTTGGAACAGGAGGCCATGGAGCGTCTTTTTCTGCTCTTTTCTGACCTTCTGTGATCTGATTGGGCTTTACAGTGATGCCTTTAAAGGAATACCTGAAACATCTAATGCTGTAATACTAAGTATCCTTAGTACATGAACGATAAAACTATTCTGTTGTTCCTAAATTTCATTCTCCATGTGGGGAAACGTATTACAAAAATTTTAGTTCAAATGAAAATATTAACAAATAAATATTTTTCAAGTCTAAAGTCTTCTTCAGACTTTTCCCTCTTCCTCTCAGGCCTAACCCTTTCTTTTAGGAAAGTATGATAAATGTTACTTTAGAATGTCTTGTATTACAGACACAGCCAAAGACATGAGGGGATTCTACTGTTTTGGACATCTCTCTTGCTAAATCTTGCCTAAATGCTGAGTATAGTATTAAGATTTTTTCTTCAATATGTAAGAAAATTTAAGGCAAGTCTATGAAAAAGCATAACTACTTGAAAAGGCTAAAACCAAGCATTTAAAAATATAGATGGAAAGAGTGAAGATTCTTTACATTCAGAAATGTGTCATTTTTTCATGGCTTATATCACAAAACAGAATTTACTTTCCCTAAAAATGTCTCCATGAGCCCATACAAGATTATTTGGGAGGATGGGGTCTCAGTGAAGTTGCCAGTGGCCTGGGTTTGGGGGCAAGGATCCCGCGGTCTTTGCTGAGTTCTTCTCGTCCTTGGAGCATGAGCCCGTTTGATCCCCCCTCTCTCTAAGACATTGTTCTTTCCTGGCACCCCTCCTACTTGACTGTTCTCCATTCTCCATTCCTCTCCCCTCTGCACCAGATGTAGATGTTCTCCAAAGCTCTGCTATCAGGCCTCTTCTCTTGTCTCTGGCCAGATGACTCACCCTTCCATCTATCCACCTGGTTTTTCTCACTAAGACTCTGTCCCTAACTGCCTGCTGGACATTCCCACCTGGATGTAGCATGGGTGTTTACAATTTAGGAGGTTTCAGGTGAAACTCTGAATATTCTTCCCAAACCTGCCTCTCTTCCAAAGTTCACTTATTTCTCAATGAATGAAAGGATGGAAATGCTAAGGCTGGAAGTGTCCACTTTGTTTGGTGTTCACTAAGTCTGTATTCCCATTGTGACAGGTGATGATGGATTCAAATATCGACTCTTGCTGGCCTCCTGAATATTTAAAAATAAATGGCAAAACAAACTCCTATGTTCATAAATAAGGGGATTATAATGTCCTCTGTTGTAAGTACGCCTTAAGAATATGAAAGAAAACCAATTCCAAAAGATCACCTTCACAGTCCTAGGCTCCAGTCTACAACAGCGAGTGATACTATCAGAGTGGCTTGCTTTCTTGGGTTCAAAGCTCCATCCCCTTCTCTTACCTTTTCTGCCATATCCAGTAAATGAACAGGAAGCCCATCTGAGAGGGAGCTGTCAGAACCACTTGTACTGTTTCAGAAAAAAAGCCATGGATGTTATTTACAATCTACCCAGACAGAATAATGCTTGCATATTCTCTACAGCATAACTCATTTACTGTTTGTTGTTACCCCCTACTTTCTATTCCTCAGAAACCTTTGAAGACCCCTAAAATACAACTGAAAATCGCGACCTCGCAGGCTTACAGACTATAGAGCTGGAAAGGCCCTTAGGAAACAACCAGAGCACAGCAAAGGTGTCAGCTGCTGTGAAGCGAAACTTCTCCAATGCTGCCCAAACCAGATTAAAATGTCACTGGGAAAAGTTTTTAAAAATAAAGACAACACAGCACAGATGAGGCTAGTTGAATTTTCCGAGGAGAATTCACCAATTGGTAAGTCATACATCCAGGATTCTACCTAAGAGTCTCTGGTTCCAAATGCAAAGCTTTTTCCATTGTACCACGCCCCTCTTGGCACAGACACCTATGGATGTCATGCTGTGAAGATGCCCTATGAAGGTGAAGTATGGCGTAGTGTACTCAGAGGGGCTCCTGCAGAGGGAACAAGGCCACCATACAGCAGAGTATATGGACCCCAGAGCAGTGAAGCCAGGGGTGGGCCTCCTACGGGCCCTGTACCCCACCCTTACCATCTAGGGTAGTGACTCTATTTACCTGACACAAACCAATCTTGGATTATCTTCAGGTACCTTTCCTACCCCGCCAGGGGGTTCGAGGGCATCCAGCTCAATCTTCCCCTAAGGTTTTTACCCTAGGGCAGCAGCCTAAGAATACTCAGGCTACAGCATCCCCAGGTCCCTACCAGCCCTCTGGTCTAGGGGTTCCTTTATAAATCCTGTGGCCCCAGGGGGAATGGAGTGAAGTGTAGCCACTGACAAGAAGATGAAGATGACGAAGAAAGCTCAGCAGCAGCAGGAGCATGGCAAGCATTCTTCTAGCAGGGGCTCTGACTGAATCCTGGGCCCTCCTCCCCCCAGATCCCATCATTCCAGCTCCCATCAAGCCTTGGCTGCTCTGTTGTGTCCAAATTATACGGTGAAGGTGAGGAAAAGGATCCTTATTGACCTGAAGATGTCCATTTCTCTTCCTCCCAGACGAAATCCCTGGGGAGCACTCCTTTCTGAAGATGTCTGTCTTTTGAGCTAAATACTGAAAGTCATCTTAGGATCTGGAAAATGTGGTTTTTAAATAATGCCTTTTGTAATTTGGGTGGGAGAAGGGGAAGAAGGGCATGCAGCATTACCATTAATGCTAGTCTGGGAATGGTAGTCTTCTGATAACAGGGGGCCCCCAGGGGTATGGGAACTACATTTCCCAGTAGACTTTGCAGTCCATTCATAATAATATGAGTGCTATTTTGGAAGCTTGTCTCTAGGTGAGCTCTTTTCACCTCAGTCATTCTCAGGCATTATTCTTTCCCCAAAAGCTGTTTATCCCAGAGGAAGAAAGAAAGGAAGAAGGAAGGAAGGAAAAAAAGAAAGGAAGAAAGGAAGAAAGGAAGAAAGGAAGAAAGGAAGAAAGAAAGAAAGAAAGAAAGAAAGAAAGAAAGAAAAGAAAGAAAGAAAGAAAGAAAGAAAGAAAGAAAGAAAGAAAGAAAGAAAGAAAGAAAGAAAGAAAGAAAGAAAGAATATTATGCTTGGAGTCACGGGAGGCCTGGGTTAGAATCCTGCCTCTGATACTGACTAGTTGTGTGACTGTGAACAAATCACTTCACTTCTTTGAAACTGTTTCCTCATCCATAAAACAGGTATGCTAATAACTGTAACACCAACCTCACAGGGTTGTTGGAAGAAATAAAGAAGCAAATGTGTGTAAGGTGCTTTATAAATCTTGAAGTGCTCCATAACTGTTATCTCTTATTCTCATTATTGCTGGGCTTGGAACTGGAGCAGCAGCATTGATTTGAGGGCCATCTATGGCCCTAGGGACATGGGTATCCTGGAACCAGGTTTGACTGGAGAGCTTCCAATGCCACACAAACCCTCTGAAGGGAACAGGAAGCCCTCCCAGGTCCTTGCTAATTCCCAAGACAATGGTAGACTGAACGTTTTTGTAATAACATAAGGAAGGTGATGATAACGATAGCTAGTTATAGCTCTTCTTTCCCGTAGCTGAGTGCAGGAAGGGGTTATGTAGTTCCAGGTCATTCTTGGTTAAGGTGTTCCCTTCTGGATCCCAGGCACACACAAGCCTCTGTATGTCAGCAGAAGAAAACCCTCTCTCCTCTGCTCCTCCATTAAGGAAAAAGTCAAATGCTCTCATTTTTGAGCAAGCCCTCAAAGCTTCTTCCATGGGACAGTCGGGCTGCTTTTTCTCATTACAGATTAGAGAAAACATATCATTGTAACTTATTAAAAATTCTGATTGCTATCTGGACCAATCTAAAACCCTGTCCCCCTCCAATTCTTTCAGGATATGGATGAGTTAGGATCTGAATATCCCTTCTGGTCCTTTCCTTTTTTACATCTCCATTAGGATTTTTCCTGAACTTTCACATATCCAGTCTTTCTGTTTCCTGGGTTGTGCCTGGATAGAACTGAGAGTCCTGTAGTCCTGTGGGCTACAGACCACTGTCTTTAGCTCACTTCACATTTCTACAGTTGCCCTACAAGTTGGCCTACCACTTTTCTGGCCACGGCCCCACCCTTCAGCTTACGTTTGGGTTCTCCTCTGAAGGGAGGGAGCTGAGGCTGAGAGAGACACCATGGTGGGCCCGGTCTCTTTACCACTAAGTGCTGGAGCCAGGGCTGGACCCCAGGTTCTCCTGATTTGAGCACGTGGAACTTGTCACGATGACCTTGCTCAGTCTCAGTGATGGGTTTAAGAGATGAGGAACTGAGCTCTTTCGTATTTGTGAAAAGGGGCAGGACAGATGATGTTCAAAGTCCTTCCCAGTCTGCTCATTCTGAGCTTCTGTGATTCTCCCTTTCAGCTCCTCAGCAAGGCCATATGAGGAACATGGGAGAAGAACCTTTCCAATCACCTTCCTGTTTCACCACTGCCCCCGAGGCTTAGCACTCTGATCCCTTAGCTGTTGGCTGGCAATCTGCGCAGCCTTAGTTAATGATTTTCTGAGTGCTTCTAAAAGAGGGAACGTGGCAAGTTAACCATTGTGGCTTCTCTCAGAGAAAGCCAAGCCACACACTGCAAGCTCTGCTCCAGCTGGGTTTGTCCCCAGCTGGGCTCTGGAACTTGCACACTTGTACCGAGCTGCTTTGCTGAGCAGAGAGAGGAGCATGTACTCTCCTTTTTGAATACGTCCCTCGTAGAGTAAGCCTTTGGGTGGCGATGGGGGTGGTAGTGGAGGTGAGGGGAGGTTGAGGGAGTTTTATTCCTGATCTACAGGCTGAGGAACTGGGCTAATGAATACTTAACCTTGGAATTCTCCAATTATCCTTCCCTAATACATTTGAAATGGCTCCTTAGTATTTTTCTTGGATTCTTAGGTCCCATTTTGACTAAGAGTTGAGGTAATATAATAGAAATATAAATAATGTCTCTTGTTTTTCCTTGGTGATGGAACATATTACCTAGATTCAATGTCAGACAAAGAGATGTCACTCCAATTGCCATCCAAGTCCATTTCTTGTCCAAGTTCTGAGAATTTCTTATAGATTTCCTCTTTAAGCTCTGTTAAACATTGCACAAACTATGGGACAGAAGGCAACAAGATTGAATGAGATAATAAATATAAAACTCTGTAAACTTCAAAATACTAAATAAATGCTAGTTATTATCATTATTCTCTAGGAGTTGTAAAAAAAAGAGCTGTTTTTGGGAACTTGGAAAAATAAGAATGCTTCAATAAGAACGATGACAAATCCTTTCACAAATTTTTCCTGGAAATAAAGTCATGCCACCATTTTGGACCATGGTTATTTGGATTCTTATCAAACCAAGAGTACTTGAGTTATTGAAAACGTAGCTAGAGGGAAAGAAAAAAGTGAAGAGTGGCCATTCCCGATTTCATCAGATGACAAAACTGTCATAACTAATCTTCATTCAATACTTAGTTTTGTCAATATTTTTACCAGCACCACTGATATAGATAATACCCCTGCTCAAACCTGTCCAGAGAGTCTTCAGGGGTTTCTGTGGACAAAAAATTCATTCCCTCTGTCTCCTAGGTGGCCTTTTTTCACTAGCCAGTATCTTAATTTCACTGCTGTGACTCTCCTGAGTTTGAGGTGCTGCTGATGTGTGAATTTCTACATTAAAAAAATGAAGCTAAGGGATAGATCAAGCCAGTGTTATTATTACAGCTTATACTGCATTTATATGACATTTACAGAAGAAGCTAGGTGGCACAGTGGATAAAGCACTGGTCCTGGAGTCAGGAAGACCTGAGTTAAAAATATGGTCTCACACTCACTAGCTTCGTGACCCTGGGCAAATCACTTAACCTCTGTCTACCTTCATATCATCAGCTGTAAAATGGAGATAAGACAGTTATTCCTTCCACATCATGATTTTCCCCATTGCAGTTTTGATATATCACAGGTTGGCATCAGAAATTAAAGGAGAATTTTTTGGGGAGTTTTGCGGAAGCTGCAAGTAACATGCAAAGGCCAGTAGACAACAGAGAGCCTATGACCAAATACTTAACCCAAATTTTACAATAAGACACTGTAAATAGCCCATAAAAGAAAAATAAAAAATTCAGACTTCTCTGGTATGAAGGGAGGGCCAACACATTTTACACAGATTTTCCAGATCATGGCGCTGGGAAGGGAGAGGCACAGTGCCCTCGACCCCCACGATGTGGAAGGGATAACTGTAATAGTACCTCCCTCTCAGGGCTGTTGTGAGGACAAACTAGATAATATTTGTAAAGCCCTTAGTATAATGCTTAGTATGTAGTAGACACTTATTAAATACTTATTCCCTGTCCATTTCCTTATTTCATACTGAAACTACAAGTAAAACATCCATTTGGAGAACTTTCCTAGGCAGAATAAATATTTGTATTGAATATCTTTAGTTTTAGGAAAATTTTCATGGTTTTATTGTATGATGAGACATTGAGACGTCTGAACAAGTAAATATCTGGACTTCACAAGCAGCTGCTGCTTTCTTCTTTGTTTCTTTGGGTTAATTAGAGCAATTTCTCAGAACATTTTAAAAAAAGGACAATTTTTTGCATTATTTGCATTATTTAGGCATTCTCAGTACAATGCAAACTTCTCAGATGCAACTAATTTAACTTCCAAACATCATGTACTTCACCCAAACAGTGATGCCACCACCATGATGTCTACCTGCCATGGTCTTTCAGGCATGTGGATGATACTTGGAATGTTTTGAGAGGATGGGGAAAAAGCTGAAAATAAGAAAACAACATGGGCACTTTGAGAAGGGGGGGGGGGGCTCAGTCAAAGTTATGTAATGGTAGCTTGAACACGTTGGTGTAGACCAAAGTGGTATTGATGTTCTTTAATAGAAACAGCTGGTGGAATCCAAATGGGGTCTTTATAAGCCTTTAGAAGTCCCATGACTCTACCAAGTATATAGCTGACAGGGATGGGCTGGGAGTCTTGTATGGCAACACTCTGTTATATCATCTGGAATGGAAGGTCAGACAATTTCTCCATGATGGCTGCCTTGACCTAGAATTGCTGCCTTTCCCACAAAAGGTAAGATACAGCTGTCTCTTTCTCTCACTCTGTATATATGTATATAGTACATATGTACATATGTATACACACGTGTCCTCATTGGTTCTGTCATGATCAAATAACTGATGATGATGCTGAATAACGCTGGAGCCACTTCCAATTGCTGCCGTTCTGGATCCTTATCCAGCATCACAAACTGTAAGACAGAGAGTTGGACTAGGTGATCTTCAAGGTCTCCTGAGGCTCAGAAATTCTGTGACTATTTATATCCTCTTGTTCCAATAAGAGCCAAAGTCCTCCCCACCTCCACTCCAGAGGGCGTTTGGTCGTAATCTTTCTGCGCTGTCTGTTAAGAGTTAATGATGTCTTTGAAGCAGTTACTTGCAGCCTCATATATTTGCTTGTCTCAAGTACAACAACTTTTCATTTTGGTTTCTTCCCTCCTAACTTTTGCACCCTTCCCTGCTCTCCATTCTAAGATAGATAACAGTCAAGCTTTCATCAAGGTCATTCTCAGGATGTTTACTGGCATCCAAGTTGAGCAGGTTCCTAGCTGAGAACTGCTCCTTCCCAATGTCATCGACCAAATTTCATCCTTAAGTTATGGGAACCAACCCCTCGCAGGTTTGCCCACAAACAGCCATCTGAGGTCACTGAGAGTCACGAGTTACCCCAAAGACCAAATACGAGCACACAGAAGACTATCCACGTTAGGCATTCACGCCTTGGCTGATCAACATATGGAGACGTTGTCTAAGAGCTTGTTTGGCACGTGATCTTTACGACCACTTCGAGGATGAAGGCCTTGCTGAAAAGGTTCCATCAGAAGTGAATTTTTTGTCTGCGTGAACTAGAGAAATACAGCCTCAAATTTCCTTGCTGCCTCTGATTTGTCTTTTTACTGTTACATGGAGAATGGTATTTTATCAGTGTGGAGAAGGCCAGTGAAGGAACAGAAATTCTTCAGGCCTGGAGGAAGAAACTCCTGAACTGGAATGAAGTTCCGCTGAGGAGGCCTTAGCCAACATCCACTCCCAGTGCTTGTTCTTCATCCAAGCTCTGGCTAGCTGTAATTCAAACTCTTCAGTGACCCCACCAGAATCGATGTGACTTGCGTGTTTGGTTTTGCTTTCACTTTTTTGGTTTTTTGCTTTTTGGTGAGGCATTTGGGGTTAAGTGACTTGCTTAGGGTCACCCAGCTAGTAAGTGTTAATTAAGTGTTTGAGGCTGGACTTGAACTCAGATCCTCCTAACTCCAAGGCCAGAGCTCTATTCACTGTGCCACCTAGCTGTTCCTGCTTTCACTTTTTAAGTATAACGTTTACCACATAAGTACTCATTTAGGGAGCATTTGCTGCGAAATGTTGGATAATGGGAAACTAACTCTAACTTTTGGAATTAGCTCCATGAACCTGGAACATATCGTGGCAATTAATTTCAATTATGTTGGTTCTAAAATTATAGACATAGAGTCCATTGCTAGGCTCACATTCATAGCCTTTCTAGTTTGATTGGCAGAGCTTGTACTCCACTGACATAGTCTTCAAGAACCTACAGTTACTTCCACACTTCGACCATAAGAAGTAAGACACTGTAAAATTCTGAAAACAAAAATCACCCTCTAAGAACGATGAGGTTCCTAAATTATGCCTTGCATACTTTCAGGCTGCCTACACCTGCATTTGGGAACAGGGAACACTAATGGAAAGAACACTGGACTTGGAGTCAAGACACCTCTGTTCAAATCAGACTCCACTGCTTGCACCCGGGGGGATCTCTGGCAGTGCCTTTTTCCATCCCTGGGGTTCACTTTCCTCTTTTATTAACTGAGGGTATTGAACTTGACTTCTTTGGTCCCTTCCAACTCTAAACTCTAGTGTTCATGTAACAATACAATGATTATTTTCTTTTTCTGTGCTTGACCAATGTCATTGAACATGATCATCTCTACACATACAGAACAGAAAAAGAGGATTGTGCATGTAGTTGTGCCCCTATTATGACAGCTTACATTTTTAAACAAGACTATAATACATTCAACATGTTTCAAAGCTGTCCTGCTTGTTATCTTCTTAACCTCTTGCTCACTTCTGGACATTTTTTATTTGTACAAGCTCTATCATGACCCTTTTTCACTCTCTCTTTTTCTTTTTTTAGTATTCCTATCGCCAGTCTCCACTCTCTGAATCCCTGCTACTCCTCCCCAGCCTCATTTGCATAAAAATAAAAAAATAAAAAAACCCTTCATTACAGCAAATAAGCACAATCAAATAAAACAAGTTCACACAAGTCCCACAATGTAGCTTCCATTCGGTCCCTTGAGTCCTCGGCCTCTCTGTCAGATTGAAGGAACAGGCTTCATCACTGGTTTCCTGGATTAGTGGCTGGTTGTTGCATTAGAGTTCCTAATTCTTTTGAAAGTATTTTTCTTACACTGTTGTAGTTATTGTATACGTTGTTCTCCTGGTATTGATCACTTCATTCTGCATCAGTTCATACAAGCCTTCCCAAATTCTCTGAATCCATCTGCAGTAACATCCCATTACATTCACATATTATAATTTGTTCAGCCAGTCCCCAATTGATAAGCATCTCCTCAGTTTCTACTTTTTGGTGTAACAAAGACTGCTACTATAAATATTTTGTACATATATCTTTTCCATCTTTCCTTAATCTCTTTGGGGTAGAATGGTGGTATTGGTGGATCAAAGGGGATTGCACAGTTCCCTGATTTTTGGAGTTTACTTCTAGTTCAGCTAGGCCAGTTCATAGTTCCATCGACATCATACAACTTGATAGTATACAATATGCAACAGTATTACACAGCTATTATTTTCATATAACGATACTGCAAACCTCCCCACTAAAAATCTTCCTTGGATGCCTTGACATGGTGCGGAGGTAACTCTGGTTTCTCAACACCTGTACCAGAAGGCTGCAAGATCCATTAGGGCCTTTGCTGGTAAGAAGGCTTTTTTCTACAGGACTGGCAACAGATATATCCCAAGGGCGAGCCCTGCAGTGCCCCAAGCCTGCCTGCTGAGAGATGAATGGGCAAAAAGATTGATGATGAAGAAATCATGAAATGGTGACAGGACCTGTGGGTGAAAACTGACCATCTGCCATCAGTGTCTCCCCTTCCTTTCCTCTCACTCCCTTCCTGACTCTCTGCAGACTGGCTTTTGAGCTCATCTTTCAACAGAAACTGCTCCCTCTAAAGTCGCCAGTGATCTCCTAGCTTCCAAGTCCAGTAGCCTTTTCTCAGTCCTCATCCTGCTCCGCCTCTCTGTCGACCTCTCTATCAACCTCTGTTGATGCTATAGGTTACTCTCTTCTCTCTAGGTTTTTGTAACACTGCTCTGTTGTGGTTCTCCTGTCTCCTTAGCTGGCTTTTTATCTAGATCACAGTCACTTAATCATCAGTGTCCCCAAGGCTCTGTCCTGGACCCTCTTCTCTTCTCCCTCTGAACTTCATTGAGTGAGGTTTCAACAGCTCCCCTTGATTCAGGAATCTTCCCTATGCTAATGATTCTCAAGTCTCCATGTCTCGCCCTAACCTCTCTCCTGACCTCTTACATCTTTGTTAATGGAAAACATTTAAATGTATTTATATATATTATATATTAACATAATATACAAAATATATACTACAGTAATTAATTTGCCCTTCAGGACCCTCTAGTGTCAGGCTCCAACCTATATACACACATATACATATATACATACACACATGTACACATAACATACATACACACACATATATAATATAAATACATACATATAGGACAACTATTTTGGGAATGATGTGATAGATTAGAGAAGAGAGAAATTAGAGCAAGGGATCCATGGTCCAGCTGAGGAGGAATTCCATGGCATGTCAGAGGGTCCTAAGATTTACAGCTGCGAGGGACCTTACAGGCCATGTAATCCAGCCCCTCATTTTACAAAAAGGAGCCTCCCCGTGAGGTGATGGGGTTTACCCGAGGTCATACAGGTAGTAAACAGCAGAAGCAGCGTTCGAACAAGGACGAGGGCGTTGGGTGCAGAGAGAAGAGGGATCGATACATCTACGGTGGGAGCAGAACTGCCAGGACTGGATGTGGGGGGGTGACACAAAGAGGCGATGAGCCTGAGCCTTCTCGGTGATGGGGAGAAAGTGGCCATCATCAACAACAGCAGGGGGATTGGGAGGTACAGGTTTGGGGGGCAGAAGGTGGGCTTAGTTTTGGACCTGGTGAATTGGAGATGTTAGAGGAGCGCTCACAGCGCAGTTGGAGATGTTCTAGCAGGCACAATGCAGGACCGGAGAGAGAAGTCTGAAGTCGCCTCTACAGCCATGATATCTGAAGCGTTAGGAAGGGCTGGGAGAGAGTGGAGGGCCACAGACAGCCGAAGAGAGAAGAACTAGGGAGGGAGACTGAGACACAGCGGCACCCTGCAATCTAGGAAACAATGCACAAAATGTAATTTCCTAGTAACATGTAATTCATAAAGTAGGGTGTGTGTTACCTAAACACTTTGTATTATGCAATTTTCAGGTCTTCTTGGCCTAACTACTGTCCTGATCTGACATATGGTGAGCTGTGAAAAGCTGCCAGATTGAGGGTGGGGCTCCATCATGCGGGATACAGCCTCGGGAATTTTTTGTTTTTCTTTTTCAAGAAATGGTAAGTAGCCATAGGCAACAGAGAACTTACCATCTTGTACCCCATTACAGATGGAAGAGAAAAAAAAACCTGGAGCAGGGAAAGAAATAGTTCACTTGGGGCTGCTCTCTGCAATAGAAAAGCTGTTCATAGGGAAATAATCTTCCTTGAAGTGGGAGAAGGGTAGAGATCAGTGTGATGGGGACTCGTCCAGAGTGAAGTAGCGTTGAACTTCCCCTGGTATACCTCATCTTTTAATTACTCAGAGTGATGACAATCATTAAAATTTACACAAAATCATGATTTTAATTGCAATTTCTTAAATTTCCTGTCTCCCCTATTCCTCCCTCAACAACTCAGGTAAGACAGGAAACAATGACCTTACCGATCACTGGCCTTAGAGTAAGAGGCCTGAGGTAGAATCCTGTCTCTACTAATTACCACCAATATGATGAATCCTTTCCCCTCTCTGAGTTTCAGTTTCCTCATCTGTAAAATAAGAATGTTGGACTAAAAGACCTGGATCCCAGGATGTTGCTCATTCCCACCTCTAGGCTTTTTCTCATCAAGATTTCTCTGCCTGAAGCACCCTCCCTTCCCAACTGACTCAACCCTGTTTGCTCTTTCAGCTCCAGGGGATCTGAGAGAGACAGAGAGAACAGTTTACTGACTTTTTTTTTTCTATCACTCCAACTTCCCGATCCTTGCCCTAGAATCCCTAGGATCCTCCCCTTTGACAAAAGAGTGGTCTCTTTTCACATGTAGGGCCCGCCTACCACTTGTTTGTGGAGAGGCAAGAGAAGGCTTCACCATCAGTCCTTTGAAATGAAGACTGGACACAGCACTGAACAGAGTTCTGACGTCCTTCAATGTGGTCTTCACTACGTGATCGCAGTCATTGCAGAAACTCTTCTTTTGGTTCCGTTTGAGTCATTCTGTCTCAATTCATACAAGTCTCCCAGAATTTCTCTGATTTCTTCATCATTGTCTTCTTACAGTGCAATAATGTTCCATCATCGTCATATGCTGCAATTCGTTCAGCCATTCCTAGATGGGCAGCCATTTTGTTTCAAGTTTTTGCTTCTAAAATAGTACTGCTAACGATATTTCTGAGATCTTTTATTGTGCTTTTGAGCAACTTGGGAGATATATACATACATGCATACGTGTATATACATGTGCAAGTACACACATAATACATATATGTGCATATTATATATAATGTATATGTGTATATGCACACACATATTTGTATTACTCCACAGTTCTACGATTGATAAGCTAATTAAAATGTACTCATAAGAGAGGTGAAATAATACACATTATCAAAACTTTTATTAAGTGCCTGGTGTATGCACAGCACTGTGCTCAGTGCTGGAGGAGGTACAAAGTTGAGACATGATAGGACTCCTGCCCTCAATGAACTTAAAGTAATAAGTAATCAGGAAACTCTCTCCACTTTAACATCATTGGGTTTGAGTCTCCTGTTACACTCTGAGAATATATGTTCAGAATCATTTAGTGATTCAATGTCTGGGATCAGTTTAGAATTAAACTTTCTTTGCGCCCAAGCCTGTATTGGGTGGCCTGGACTTGGCTGTCTCCAAAATGGGACAGTGAAGAGGAATGGAGACCTTTGAGTCGTGGGAACAGAAAGCAGCTTTACCGAACATTCTCGTTGCTCATCAAGGCCTTTACATTTAGAACCCAGAATCCTCTCTTTTTGACTCTGTATTGAATAAAATGAGCTTTTACCTTAGTGCGGTCAGGATCGCAGAAATCAAGAAGTGTGTCACAGACATGATAACCGAGGGATTTTAGGTCCTCAGTATTAAAATGAGTATCCCTTTTCCTGCCTGGAAGAAAACATGAACATCTGTGATCAGAAGTTAATTTTTTGCTGAATCAGGGTGATACAGAAATAATCCAGTAACTCGTCTTTGAAAATACCATTTTCCATAGTTCTCCTACCACTTGTCTAACCACTCCTTCTCAGTCTCTTTTGCTGACTCATCATCCAGACCAGTAGTGTTAAAATTACATAGAAACAGGAGCCACTAATCCATACATAAAGATCCCTGTGGACTACATAACAACTTCGTTTTAAAAGGTAATATTACCTGTGTTCTGTTGTGTTTTTTATTTATTTTATTAAATATTTCCCAATTCCATGTTAATCTGTATCATGTCCCCTAAGTGTGGCTGTTGTTTCCCTATGCTCTTAACTCACTCCGTATCAGTCGATCTCCAGGGGATCTCATGAGTTTCATCATAATCTCTATGCCAACCACTCCCAAATCATTAAATCCAAATCCAGTATCTCTCCTGAGTTTTAATCCTACGTTACCAATTGCCTAGCAGACATTTCAAATTGGACTTCCTTGGAACATCTTTAAAAAAAAAATACCACCCCTAAGTACAAAATATAATGTTTTCCTAAAAATACAGTATTTCTTTCTCTTTGGGTCAGGCCAAGTATTTCCTAAAATAAAAGCCTCTGTTTCATTGTTATTATGAGTATTAGTTCAAGCCACAGGTAGATGGCAAAGCATTTCTTTAGGATAAAGTAATTTAGCAACACTGAAAACGTGCCCGTCTTTACAAAGTCTCTGGCTTGGCCTGCCCCTGTAATGTTGGGGTACTGCTGTCCAAAGGAGTTCTTACCTAATGTTGACCCTCCAAAGGTCGACTCCATAGTGTAGCTGTTCAGAATTCCCATGCGCCACATCACAACCCGCCCAGTCCCTTCTTTGCACTTGTGGACTTTAAAATTACAGCTCCTAAAGGAGAACTGAAGAGAAATCCGACTCCTCAGTTAGTGCACACCTCAATGTCAAGCACGCTCAACAACAGTTGTTTTTGTTTTTCCATTTTCAATTTTGACTTCCTTATGGCAATATAGACCCTTCTATGATGTTACAAAGATTTTCTACCTCCTCAGAGATTTGTCATTACTTTCTCTACTTTGATCGTGTGACACCCTTTCCCCCCAAAGCAAGCTCTTTACTATCATTTGGCACTCTCCTTGTGCCCACTGTGTCTGCCACCATTCCCTCACATGGCCTCACTGCCCAGCCCTTCTGGCCTACTCAATCCACCCCTGAGCGTGTCTTGTGTGTGGCCACCATTTTGAATGACTTCTGTCCTTTCCCCCCAATCCAATGCCATTCCTCCCTCAAGGTCCAGCTCAACTCCAACCCCTTCTGTGTCAGTGTTCCTGACTACACCAGCTTTTGAGAAGACCTTGTCTATAAGCTGTTCTATAGGATTAATGTTTTACGTAATTAATTTTCTGTATCCCTGGAGTTGCTTAGCAAAGTGTTTTGAACTATGCATAGAGTCACAGAATTTTAACACTTTACAATATGAAGGCACCACAGAAATTATAGTCCTGTACAGAATCATAGAATCTGAGGGCCTAAAGCAGGCACCTAACCTATCCATATACAGAAAAAAATCTCCACTGTGAAATATGAGACAAGTGGACACTTAGCCTCTCCTTGAAGACTGCAAAGAGGGGAAATCTGTCCCACCTTGAAGCAAACCAGTCCTCCTTAGGATGGTCTGGATCAGCTGAAAGGTTTCACTGACATCAGGTCTGAATGTGCCTTCTGTAGCATCTACCCATTGCCCCTGGTTCTGCCCTCTGAGGCAAAAAAAGGGAACAAAACTCGCCCCTCCTCCAGTGAGTTCCTGCCAGTTTCACGGGTGAGGACAAGAAGCACTCCATAAGTTTCCCAGTGGTTGGTCATGTTTCACTAGCTCATGTGATGAGGTCTACACCACTCAAAGACATCTTTTATTCTAACCTGTTACTTGTCAAAGATTCTAGCTACTCCTTTAACTGACACAGACAACAGCCCCTCTAGAGCCCTCAGTAAGTGGCCTCCATGAGGTGTTGGGAACATGCCTGTCAATGTCAGGCAGTCTGGCTCTTGGGTGAGATACAAATCCATTGCCAGGCCTATTTTTTAGACCTTTGTAGCCTGTTAGGACCTGCCCACGCTTGTGGTTCAACTGTGAGGCCTTCGGTGTGGGGGGGGGGGAGGTGTCACCTCAGAGTAGGTATTCAGTCGAGATCAACCAACTACTTCCTTTTCATCCAACATAAATAGGAAAGATCCCCTTAGAGGATCTAAAAATTGGATTTTCGCTTTCAAATTATCCTCTCTTTTACCATCTGTATGTCCCTCAGCTACAGAGTTGTTTCTAAAGAGAACTGTACATGTTTTATGATCTGAAGCCTCTCTTTTCAGTCCCTCAGTGACCTTTTCATTGTTTGCGAGCTTGAGGCAGGTATGAGGGTGTTTCAGGTCATATAACCCTATGAATTTACTGGCTTATCTATCATGTGACCCCTTCTTCTGGTGCCACACAGAGGGTAGGCATAAGTTAAGAGCTCTTCACCTACAAAAAGCGTAAGCGTTCGGCCCAGGACAAGTGGCTGCTGTGATTCTTGGAACCTCATTTGGAAACACTCTTCTAGCCCCTGAAGAAGCTCTTGCTGGGACTTACACTTCCAGGAGGATAGTCCATGAAACACAGAAGCAACAATGTCAGAAACCGCACGGAGGAGGCAGAGCTTTCTCATCCCCCAACCGAACGATGGAAGGCCCTTGGAGACGGCAGCAAGGCGCCTGCCGTGCTCACCTTGTCCGGGGCATTCTTGCTGAGCATCAACGGGAAGACACGCTCGTGGAGCCGCTGCTCGCGGCTGGCGCTGGCGCAGCCGTACAGGAACGTGTTGTTCTTTCGGCTGTGCCCGTGGAAATCGCAGTACAGCAGGACCTCCCGCTCCTCAAGGACCCTGCGGGATCGAGGCTGCATCAGACCCAGGCCCCTGAGCCTACCATCAGAACTACTAGAACGTGTCTTCTGCCCACCTCCACCGGATTCCTCGAGGTCAGGGGTGGTGGCATCTCCAATTCAGCACACTCAGTTCCTAGGGAACGCCTTGCCCATTGCAGCCACTTGATAAATGATTGCTGAGTTAAACTGGTGTCACTCTGATCCCCTCCCTCACCTTCCTGGAAACCATCAGTGACTCACATGAATGAATCAGTGAAGAAACATTCACTGAGTGCTAGGTGCCATGCTAAGGGTTAGTTACGCAACTCTACAAAGAGAGGTGGTGTCTACCTTGACGGGGCTGCCAGTCTAATTAGAGGAGGCACGTGTAGGATAGTTGTGGCTAGGGAAGGAAGTACTGGGCTAGGGTGTCACAGAGATGGTGAAGGGATTTATGTGACAGGCCCTTTTCAGAAGTAATGATACTAACCTGAAGTCCTATGCATTGAGTTAGAGGTGAGGTGGAGTGGGGAAAGATGCAGATTAAATGCATCAGTAACAAAAAACTGAAGAAGCATTCAATGTGTGTAAAATATGGTGCTAGGTGCTAGGGGAAGATAGTAAAAAGTGAGGTTAAGACAAAGTTCCTGTTCTCATGGAATCTACAATCCAGTCAAGAGGTATTGATAGTCACAGATAACCGCAGTATAAAAGAATACATGCGCAGCACATTAGGGAGATGCAAAATCACGCAGCCTGGGCCCAATGATGACGATGACAAATAAGGTAAACACACCCGCTAACTATCCCTGGTCCTTAGCTGCTCCTGCCCCCCCCCCCCGAGGGCCACTCCCACACCCTGTTCCCTCCATCTGAAATGCTTACCTGCTCCATGCCAATGTGTCCTTTCCATCCTCCCACGCTCTGCTCGCTCACAGCCTCCACAACCCTGGGTGGCCTAACCAGGCTGCCCACCCTGAGGAGCACTACATTTCCTCGAACCCTTGTCTACAGATACAGTAGTGGGTGTTTAAAGGGTCTGCAGAACGTGTTCATGGGCATTTTCATTTCATTTGGTCTTGTGTCTGCTTGATCAGACACCCTAAGGGGAGGGCCTTACAGGTATCACTTCCTTGGCAAGACCAGAATCGCCCTGTATGGTCTGAAGTGAGTATGACTCAGTCCATCGCCCCAGCTGGTGGCTACCAGGGTATGACACGGGATATGCCGGCAGCATTTCAGTGAAGCCGGCTTTCTCTTATCAACCAATGGGATCATTTTTACAAATGGGTTACAGAGCGTACTGAAAGACTGACCGAGAGCATCTGTCCTCCTCACCTCTTGATCATGTTCCTGGTGTGCCAAATGCAGGGGAAAGACTCTTTCAGAATGGTCTTGTAATGCCTGTTCAGGTCCCTGCCTGCCAAGGAACAGCGATAATTCCCCACGATCACACCATCCGGATTTAGCATGGGAACCACCTTAAAAATGAAGATGTCTCTGAGGAGCTGGGCGTCAGGGGAGTCTCCGAGGATAAAGTCTAGGAATCCTTTCATCATCCAGGAGCTGTTGCTCTCCCCAGGGTGGACTCTGGCACTCAGAATGACTGCTTTCTTTGCAGTGGCCATTTCCGAGTTCTTAGATGGGTTGGTGATGGTGAGCAGATAGACGGTATTGCCCGCAAGGCTTCTGCACAGAGTTCTGAGCTTGCAGAACTGAGACTGGACGGGATTGTTGGCCACTGTTAGCAAGTAATACCGCAAATCCGTGTACGTGTAAGGGTAGAAGTGAGCGAAGTAGCAGGTGTCCTGGTCATGTGGAAACTGGACTGTCCACGTGAGGCAGTAGAAGGCGGGCTGTCCCTCCTCTGCGCCTTTCCTATAATACTTGATCTCATCTCCCGATCGCCTCCAGCCAATGCTCCGGGTACGGGCATCCGCCTCAGAGTACAGAAGAGGCTTCATCCCTGTGCTGTAAAGGCTCTTGGGTTTCAGCAGATTGACGATGGTGAAGCGATATGTGATATCTTTCCTGGTGTTCTGGACTCGGAAATAAAACCACTGTGTGTGCTTGCTAGTATACAGATCAGTTCGCAGAGTGAGTTCGTACTCATAGGTGTCTCTGCAAGGGAGAAAACCAAAGAAAGGTCGAGCTCTAAGGAGGTTAAGTGACTTACCTATGGTCATACATCTAGGAAGTGTCAGGCGTGAGATCTGAACCCGGGTCTTCCTCACTCTCAGTCCTGTTTTCCACTTACCAGTCTACTATTCCACCCATTGCCCTGGAGGGCAGGGACTGTCTTTGTTTTACTTGTTTTTTGTATCCTCAGGGCTTGTCCCGATGCCTGGCTCATAGTAGGTGCTTAATGAATGTTTGACTGACTGCCTGTTGACTGTACCACTCACTCCTCTTGGTCTTCAGGCTATTTTCATGTAGGTGTTATAGTAATAGTCTTTTGAAAAAGAAAGTCTATCCCATAATACGACCTGCCATTTATACAGTATTTCATATTCAGTATTTCATTTGAGACTTTTAACAGCCTTTTGAGGTTGGTTGTACACTTATCATTTCCATTTTACAGCTGGAAAAACTGAATGGGGCAGCTAGGTGGTGCAGTAGATAGAGCACAAGCCTTGGATTCAGGAGGACCTGAGTTCAAATCCGGCCTCAGACACGTAACACTTACTAACTGTGTGACCCTGGGCAAGTCACTTAACCCCATTGCTTAGCCAAAAAACAAAACAAAAACAAACAAAAAAACCAAAAAAACCTTGAAGCATAGAAAACTTAACTGACGTGTCCAAGTAGCATAGCCTGGCCAATCCTGGCCCCTTTCTCTAAGTGAAGGAGGGGGTCCAGGGACATACAGCTAGAACGGTGACAAATCCTTAAGTAACTCTCCAGGCCCAGTTTATCCTTATCCGCCCTGCTCCTGAATGGCAAATTGGAAGTGCCTGGATCTGCTCACTCTAAGCTGGTAGATTTGTAAAAGGCTCTCTTTAGGCTCCCTTTGTCTGCCTCAGTATAAAGCTCAAGAGACCCTAACTCCCTTGAGTCACTCCAATTAGTTTGAAGTTCTGGGCAAGGCCAGTTTTCTGTGTTGCAGTTATGTGTGTGACTTCATTCTGCAGACTGAGAAAAAGGCTGGAACCCATTGGGCCTGTGGTGAGGTAGAAGCACTCGTCTCCTTGTGGAAGATGAGTATGAATTCCCCTACTTCAAGAATTACTGAGAGCCTAGACCTTTGAATTAAATCAGTCTATCAAAGACTCTACCAGGTGTGAAAAGTCCTCAATTTATTGAATCGAGGTGCTTAGGCCTTGAAGCCTTTGACTGACTGGTTCAGGCAAGAAGTCCAGGCACTCTGTAATTCCCTAAGGTAAGACTGTGGGAATTTGGCAGCCCCAACCCCAGCACACACAGACAGAGGTATCCTTTTTTGTTTCAGTGGTGGTCTGTATGATATTAGGACATTTTGTAGTTACATTAGAGGTGAGCATGTTCATGTCTCGACTCACTGAGACGCCAGCCTGGATTGACTCACGAGAGTTACACAGCATATTGCAGGGCCAGGATTCGAGCCCGGGCCTCCTTTCAAAAGAGTTTCATAACTTATGAATGGATCATTTACTTTGAAAATTTAAGACTAGTGTTATGTAATTTTGATTTCTTAGGGATAACTGAAAGACTTTATTCCTGCTTTGCTTCTATTTTCGTGAGGACAGATAGGGAAATGACTACAGAATGTGGAAGACTGGAATTAAAGTATGAAAAACAGTTGCCCCCAGAGGTGGAAATTGAAGTGAGAGAAAAGCCGCCTGCTCAGATGAGGGATGTATCTGTAGCTTGGCTGGGTGGGTGGGGGATGGCAGCTGAAGTAACTTGCTCTTCTAATTTTTTTTTAAGGGAGAAGGAGGAAGCTCAGTAGCGTGCTGTCCTTGGGAAATGTGACAAATAACAGCTTTTCCTTTTATTTCTACCTTTCTTTCCACAGTGAATCCCAAATCTCATCCCACTCTTGGAGGCAACTCTCAGCAGGCAGCCCCTCTAATTACCATACCCCTCCAGAAATTCCTTTTCATTATTACTCACACTCTGATGGCTTTCTGCAAATTCCCGCTCTCAAACCTCGACTCAAACAGCAGGGTGTCATCTTCTGGTCCTTGCAAATTGACAGAAAGTTGTTTGATCACTCCTCGTTTGCCTCCTATTCTGGAGCTGGTGAAATAGGAACCCATTGGGGCTGAGAAAAGGGACAGATAGAGAAGCTGGTACAAGTCATCGTCTTTACTTACACAAACCCTGATGCTGATGGTCATCCAGGCGATGGCCTTGGTTGTCAGGGTCGAAGTTCAAAGATTTTGTCTCAGTGGGTACTCCCTGTGCTGACACAGTTCATGGCCCCTCTGGGACACAGATAGTCTCAGAGAGTTCCTACTCCAGAAAAAATTCAGTGGTCAGCACCCAAGCTTGGTGATGAGCTAGTCTGATGTTAGTGAGGCTGGTCCTCAAAAAAGAGAGCAAGTCTGTCACGAGGGATGTGCTCAACGTCTTTCTAGCTTGATAGAATCTGACAATTTGTGCTTTGTTGGCACAGGCTTTGAGAGGCCAGGCTATCTCTGGGCTATGGGAGTAGGTCTTTAATAATAACACCAAGCATATCATTAGAAAGTCCTGTATTCACATGAAGCATTGACATAGCAGGAACAAGGGACAGAAGATGGGGGGGTTCCTATGATATGCTGGTAGCCCTGAATACTAAAAAATGTGGGGGGGGCAGGGAGGGGGAGGATTGGAAGGAGGCCTCCAGTACCCAGGATAAAGTCTTTAAGGAGGAGCTACAGGAAAACACAGACAAGAATTGGATGGGAGGAGAAGGTGCAGAGGAGAAGCCTCCGTGGAAGGGAAATCTACACTGATAAGCACATAGCCTAGAGAGTCACCTTCTGCCGGGATGCGGGGTTCATGGCAAGGGTTTAGAATAGGGAAAAAGAGAAGGGCAGTTGTATGAAAAGGAAAGCAAAGTAAGAGGGGCAAGGCTGTCTGAGGTGGGAGAATAAATAGAGTTGGAAAGGAAAATGGCATTGCTGGTCAGAGTGGGGGGTGAAGAAGAAAAGCCCTGGGGAGTGGTACTGCCCCTAAAGCCCTAAATCTCCCTAAAACCAGGACACTCGGCAGGACCCCAATGACCCCAGAGCTAAGGCAAAAGTCTTCACAGGCCTACTGCCTGACCCAAGGGGTCAGAAGTTCTCTCTCTTGCCCCCAGGCACTCTCTGCAGCACAGAATCTTAAGCCTTAACCACCTGGTCATGAATTCTGGAGCTACTGTGTCTATCCCTTGATATGCTGGCAAGGGGAAGGGAGGGAGGTTAGTGGAGACTGGGAAGGGATTAAGATTATAATCTACCAGGAAGTTGTAGTGGGGTTACACTTGTGGTGTGGCAACTTGACACTCATGGATTGGGTCCCTGAGGGCTGGCCATCTCAGTTTCATGGTACTCTGTGGGTCTGTACTCCTGAAATTAGAGCTCACAAGTGTTTACCTTTAATAGTTAGCCAGTTGACACAATTTTCTCAGAGCATTACTACAATGGTGTAGCACAAACTGTAAACCAAACATTCCCCCCTAAGCCTGAGGGCCACTCGTGTGAGCAGTGGACACGTGCATGGAATACCCTCGTAGATGCCCACGTGGAGGCAACAAACGTGGCCAAAGCAACGCATGCTTCGGCACGCAGGGCCCTGTCCTTTCTCTTTTTGGGTTCTCTTCCTGTTGCTTCTTTTGGGCGCCATGCCTGCCGGGCCTCCTCTCTCCTCTGGCCTGCTTTGTGCTAGCTGTAGCACCTCCTGCTGGATGAGTTTCTCTGCTGCCACTTGCCACGTCTGATTGGGGGGAAGGAGGAGGGAGAAGTCCCTTCCCCTCTGTGGCTGACCTTCATCTGCCGCCAGCTTGCCTGCTTGGTTGAGGCTTCGCCACCCCCTGGGCTGGTCTTACTGTAACGCTATGTGCCTTCAAGTCCCGGAATAGCACAATCACAGAAGAACCAAAACTGGAGGTGAGGCAAAGAAGATCGAGCCTGACTGACGTGCTAGGCGTAGGCTGTGGTGTGTCGTCAACAATGACACGTGTGAGATGTCGCATGAAAGCCATCCTCATGGGCGGCACAGGCGGTGGGCGGTCTTGCAACAATAAGAGCGGGGGATATTGGACAGATGGGCCAAGTTCTGCTCGGGCACACACGGAACGTATACACCTAAAGGGAGCTTGTCTAAGTGTTCAGTAGCTCCTCTGTGCAGGCTTTATGCGAAAGCTACAGACAGAAAGAATGAGAAAGTACAGATGGGCTGCCATCTGCAAAGCAAACACAGATTCACTGAAGTTTGGCTGTATCCTTTGGGTGCTGGATAGGGTTGAAACTCAGGGGGCATCCTGATCTCCCAAGCATCCAAACTGCAGTTCCCCAAAAGATCAATGGTGATTCATATTGAATACCCGAGGCAACTGTAAACATGGATAAACATGGACGGAGCATGGGCCAGGGAAGTTGGCACATCTGGCCCCTCCACGCTACCTGTGCTTAGAGCTGCTATTAGGCCTGAAGACTTGCCCACAAGGTATGGAATGGAACACCCGGAAATGGACTATCCAGGAAAGAATGACCGAAAAAAGAGGCAAGCTAGTCTTGGAACAAGAGCAAGGGACGAGAGATGACCAGACCCCGAGCTGGCCTAGAGCCACTGGCATGCTAAGTGACTTAAGGGAAGGCTCTGGCATGCCGGCTATGTGCTCTAGGGGTTTCTGTGGAAGGCCATGCTCATGAATGGCACAAGATGAGAATGTGAGAGAATGAGTTGAAATCTGCATCACTCTAGGGAGTAGTCCCAGCAGTGAAATTACAGCTCCACTGAAGTACTGATGGGTTTTATTTTTGTTTTTAAAATACATATTTTATACATGTTCTCTTAACACAATAATCACTTCCTAATCATCCCCACCAATTATCTTCCCTTTAGAAACATGTTAAGTAAAACTATATTGATGTGTCTTCTAAAAACTCATAGAACACTGGGAAGTGACCACCAAGAGAAGGGAGGGGAAAGGGAGGATGAAAGGTAGTGTCAGTGATTGAGTAGAAAAATGGAAAGAGCAGGTTCCCTGGAGGCAGCTCCAGCGAGATCTGCTGTAGAAAGGAGGAAGCCACAGTACTGGCTTAGAATCAAATAATAACAACACCACCACCACCAATTTTTTTGCAGAACAGTGAAAGTACCGAGGCTGACCTTCCACAAATATCAGCACTCTCGATCAATCTGGTCACCAAAAGATACTTCATTCGCTTTTCACATATGTGATCACAGATTTCTCTAACTGTCACAATGAAGCCCTTTTGAGGAAAATGAGGATACCTGACTCAACGTGATAGACCACTGTGCCTTTTCCCTCTCCGACGATTTCCGGCACCTTCTCATTTCCTGTAGGTTGATAGAAATACTCAGGCTTGGATGGGACCCATTCTGAAAGGAGATGTCCATAGGAACATGCCGTCAATAATTACCTACAGGACATTTCACAGCAGAAAGAGCAGAAAGTATGCAAAACTCTACCAAAATTACTCTGATCATTTCTGCCAGAGCCAAAACAAAGACTTCTTCTCCCTTCCAAAGTATTCCCCTTGGCAGCTTATACTCGTGGTATTATTTGTTCTCCTTCTGTAAAGGATGCTGGGACACAAGGACAAGAATGGAAATCAGCCTGGTCACTGGAATTGACTTGTAGGATGGAGGCTCAAAGTGCATTTCTCAGAAGACTTTAGGGCTCTTAGGGATTTCTAGAAGGAACCAAGAGACATAGCAAGGACTGAGAGGGCCGAGGTGGTGTTAATTTGGAAGTCAGCTCCAGAATATGGTGTAGAATGTGAGGAGTGCTTGAACTCCACAGGGAAATACCGACCCCACTGGGCCATCCAACCTTCCTGGCTTTGCCTTCCCAGTGGACGAAGCAACTATCTGATCCCCAGGTCAGTTTCCCAGTGATCCTGGGAAGGGCAAACATTGCGTAGTGAACACTAACATGAGTATATAACATGAGAACAGAAAGGCATATCCCCCTCCCTCAATGAATAAATTTGTATTCTGGTTTATTATCAGTTACATGTGAGCTGGAAATAATATGAATCAATTCACCAGAACTTGGTCACACAAAAAGTATGCAAAGTGGGCCAAGAATGGCTTTGGAATATGGAGGCACTGGGTTCAAGTTGCTGCCTCTGATGAACACTTTGTGTGTGACCCGGGCATATCTCTTGACCTCTCATTGTGCCAAACTCCTCCCTAAGACAACTCCCTAAGTTACTGGAGCCTCTGGCCTTCATCGAGGGAGGAAATTTCTATATTAGGAGATCCCAATACAAATTAAGTAACAGGCCTTGACATATAGACAGGTCACCTCTAGATAAATGATAACCTTTTACTTCTGACCTGTGGTGACCCCTCTAAGTGAGAAGAACTTACCAGCTCTTACCCCTAATTAACAGAAGTCCATTACTACTAACTCAGGAAGTAGCAATACACATTAGATTACCAATGTGATGAATATTTTCCTTGATGACTTCACATTCTATGGGCCATCGTGGAGCCTGTAGAAACCCATCGTTAGAGAAGAAAGCAAAGAGATTTCGGGGTTCTCGGAGGCGTGGGTTTCCTTCACCAAACTCATCAAAGAGCAGTTGGTTGCTTTTAAAAAGTGGGGTATCCAACAAATGGGAACCTGTGAAAGAAAAAGGGACTACGTAAAAGGTTTTCTTCCCAATCTTGAGAGATCTAATCCTGAAAATATCAACAGTTCAGTGGCTTGTGTTTTTCTATAAAGGATATGGAAATCTTAGCATAGAAATGTTTTTCTAGGTCCCCTATTAGGGGGAGAGAATGGAATAAACATTCGCATAGTGCCTACTATGTGTCAGGCACTATGCTATCAAATACTATCTCATTTGATCCTCGCTGGGAGGTAGGTGCTATCATTATCCCCATTTTACAGTTGAGGAAACTGAGGCAGGCAGCAGTGAAGTGACTTGTCCAGGGTCACACAGCTAGTGTCTGAGGCTGGTCTTGGATTCAGGTCCTCCTGACTCTCCACTGCGCCACCAGTTGTCTTATCTGACTCCTCCTTCAGTATTCACGTGTGTCAAAAGTAGATTTTTAGGAGAACATAAATGTGCTATGTTTGATGTCATACAAAGGTCCCACAGGTATCCTGCAGTACCTCTCTTTCCCCAATCACTTCAGTGGGACAAAAGAAGATTCACAGAACTCTGAACTGTTCCTAGGAACTCACCCACTCCTCTTTATTTCATCTAATATGGCACACAGTAGGAGCTTAACAAGAAGACAGGGTTGTCTTTGGTCTGGTGTAAGTGGATGCGAAAGCCTTCATAACAGTTTAAAAATCCTTTTTCTTTTGCTAAAAATGTATCTTTTCCTGTCTATACAATCTACCAGACCTTACCCAAACTCTGGGTCCTGTAGCTGTGGGAGACTATACATGTCATCTTTGGAACTGGGAGTCACACGTGTCCGTCACTTACTGATGGGGTATGTCACAGTCTTGTGTGGCTAAAGGACTGCAGTGTATCTATCTGTCTGTAACCTATGCTGGCTTCTTCATGCAGAGGTTAGCAAGGACCCTAAACATTCTTGCAACAGATGTAATTCCTCATCTATATATTTTAAAAACAGAGTGCTGAGTTACTACTCATTTATGAGCATCAAAAAGGAGAGTGGGGATTTTTTTTTCTACTGAGGGGCATACATAAGTAAAACGCAACTGAATTATTTCTTTAAAAGAGAACTCATTCATTTAAAAAATAATCTATGTTAAAAAAGAGCTACCCACTTGCCAAGTCACACAGGCCACATCCTAGAGTATACTGCCTCTCTTGCCTAAGCAGACATGAAAGATAAACAAGGTACTGTAAAATAGAAGGAAGCATAGCTCTGTAGTCAGAAATCCTAGGTTCAAATCTCTCCTTAGACCTTTACTAAAACTGTTTAACCTCGGGCAGTTTACTTAATCTCCCTGGACCTCAGTTTCCTCTTCTGAGCTTCCCTCCACCTCCAAATCTAGGATCCTATGGTCCTAAGGCAAGCCCCTCGTCAATGAGCAGTTATCTTTGTTGACTCCAACCACTCACCACTTTTCCCTCCCATTCCTCTTATGGCAGGTACCCTGGGGTGAGATGCCACCTCTGCCCTCATTTGCTGTGTGGTAACTTCCTTGAGCTTTAGCTTCCTCTTCTCTAAAATGGGGGTGATAATACCAGTGCTTCCTGGCACCAGGGGTCACTGGGAGGTGAGTGCCCTATCTACATCACAGGCATGACTTGTAGACATAAGGCCTGGCCTTCTTCTTTTCTAACCATTCTAACTGATTGTCTAGCTAATCAAAATAAGGATAGCAATAACCTCATTTATACTCTGAACAAAACTTATTTACACTAGTAGACACCTTCTTCTCCCCACTGTAAGTTATCTGGGTGAATTTAAATATTACAAATTCAAGTCAAAGTTTTCTTTTAGCTAGACTTTTCAACTTACCATCTTGGGAAAATGAAGTTGATGCAGGTTTGTAGAACCATGTATTGGCTGTCTCCATGCGGGAGATGAGCCCAGCAGTAGGCGAGGCACACGAGTTCCCTGGCACAGAGGAGATGATTACATTAATTTTTTAAAAATTAAAGAAAAGTTATCTAATTCAACAAACTCTCTGAAACAGCATCGCCAGTACTTTCCTGAACCAAACGCATCTCACATACAGTGAAATCATGATTACCCAGGCTAATGACCAAGGTAATTACTGCTGAATGATGAAGCGATTATTTTACCTGTCCTGCTCCCTCACTTGGGTCTCTCCTTCTTGCTCACTATTCTTACATGACTATTACTTCCAAACCTGCCTGGACTGCTTTCTCTAAGTCCCTGGTTGAATTTACAGGCAGTTGACCAGCAATGGCTTTATCAACCGCTAATCAATCGATAAACATATTATCAGGGCACCAGGCCTGGAGTCAGGAAGACCTAAGTTCAAACCCGGCCTCAGATGTGTACTAGCTGAATACGTTGGGCAAGCAAGTCACTTAACCCTGCTTGCTTCTGTTTCCTCATTTGTGAATGAGCTGGAGAAAGAAATGGCAAACCACTTCAGTATCTCTGCCAAGAAAACCCCTAGTAGGGGTCATGAAGTGTTGGGCATGACTGAAAAATGACTGAACACATGCCAAGAACTGTGCTCAGCTGTGGCGATACAAATAAAGACAAAAAAGTCTCTGTCCCCAAGGAGCTCCCCATCTAATGGGAGAAGAGATAACTAGATACAAGATACCTACAGAAGAGATGGGAGGTAGTCTCAGAGGGGAAAGTACTAGAAGCTAGGGGGATAGGGAAAGGCCTTCCTGTAGGAGGAAGACTTGGAGCCAAGTCTTGAAGGAAGCGTGCAAATCTAAGAGTCAGAAGTGAGAAGGAGGAACACTCCCAGCACAGGGCAGAGATAGCTAATTCACAGGGAAAGAGGAGGAGTGTTATATTCAAGGAACAGTAAGTAGACCAGTGTAAGTGGAACACAGAGTGAATAGAGGGGAACAGTATAAGAAGCCAGAAATGTTGGAAGGGACTGGGTTGCAAAAAGCCTTAAATGCCAGAAAGTACTTTCTATCTGATCCCAGAGGTAACAGGGAGCCACAGGAACTTCATGAGCGGGGTGTGTGTGTGTGTGTGTGTGTGTGTGTGTGTGTGTGTGTGTGTGTGTGTGTGAGACATGGTCAGACCTTGGCTTAAGGCAAATCCCTTCAGCAGGCGAGTGGAGATGGAATGGAGTAGGGAGAGACATAAGCCAGGGAGATGAATTATAAGGTAGAAGTTCAAGAGAGTGATGAGGGCCTGGAGCAGCATCAGGGTTGCATGAGTGACGTACATGAGAGATGATGTTAAAGTAGAAGCAACACGATTTGGCCACAGCCCGTATGTGTGTGGAGTGAGAGTGAGGAATGGAGGATGACTCCAAGATTCTAAGCCTGGGTCATAGGGAAAACAATAGTGTCTTCGATAATAATAAGGAAATTTGGAGGAGGGAAGGGTTTTGGGGAAAGAGAATGAGTTCTGTTTTATATGTGCGGAGTTTGAGATGTCTATGGAATATCTGTTGTTTTTCTTCAGTCTTTTCAATCATGTCCAACTCCTTGTGATCCCATTTGGGATTTTCTTGGCAAAGATGCTGGAGTGGTTTGCCATTTCCTTCCAGGTTTGAACTCAGGGAGATGAGTCTTCCTGACTCCAGGCCCGGCACTCTATCCAGTGCACCATCTGGCTGCCAGTCAATGGGATATGCAGCTCATGAAGTTCCAAAGGCAGTAGGTAACATAGGACTGGAGCTCAAGCATTACCATTCTCAAAAGCAATTTAGAACTATGTCCAAACTATGAAAGATACTAAACTGTGTATGTTCTTTGACCTAGGAATACCATAACTAGGCCTGAAGAGATGAAAGAAAGAGGAAAATATTTATAGCTGCTCTTTTGGGAGTACCAAAAACCTGTAAACTAATGGATTGTGCACCTTTGGAGAATGGCTGAACAAATTAGAGTATCTGAATGTAATTAGGATATTATTTTGCTATAAGAAATGATGAAATGGATGATTTCAGAGAAAACTGGAAAGATCTGAATGAACTGATGTAGCCTGAAGTGAAGGGGCCTAGGTGAAGAATTTATACAATCACAATACATTATAAAGAAAAGTAATTCTGATTTAGGACAGAGAGGTGAATTAATGTGCAGAATGAGAAACATATTTTTGAATATGGTCAATATGGGAATTTGTTTTCCTTTGGAATTTGTAATCTAAGTGTCACACTGGCACAGTGTTCAAGAAGTCGGCATCACCTCTGTGCATTGAAGGGATGGGAGAGATACAAAGACAAACAGCCCTCTCATAAGCCCTGCTTTCCAAATTCTTGGCAATGGCAAGCCAGTACTACAGAACAAGGGCCACACTGCTGGATCGACAGAGCAGTTGACCTCAACTACTTCTCTAGGCCCCAAGGAACCTGATGAGAGAGGCATGGCTCACACTCATGCCTTACTACTTACATATCAGCTTCTCCTCTTGCAATGTATCCTGTTTCAAATCATTTCTTTTCCGGAAATTTCCCTTGAACAGGTACTGCGGAGACCTCTCCCACGTATGCTGATGTTTAGTGGCATTTGGTAAACCATCACCCTGAGCTAAAAGCAAATGTTTAATTAAGAGGGCTGAAACACTCATCACAGGACAAACTTAAGCGTAGTATGACAGAAATAGCCCTGCTGTTGTTACCAGTAGAATTAAAGCCTTGCCAACATTCCAAACTGATTTCACACTCTTCATGGAATTATCTGGCAGAAGAATAGGGGATAACATCTAAAGCTCCACCTCCCCTAATTCTTGATGATGGCCCTATGGGGAGGAGCTTACATGAAAACATTTGGGGCCCACTGTCACCCTACAAACTTGGAGATCACAGAGATCAACCTTGTCTAACTTCTCTCCCAATGCTGAATTTTCTCTACAATCTACCTGACAAATGGTACCTATTCTCATTCCCCACAGCAACTCCTCTTTCCTCATCTCCCTCCCTGCTCTCCACTCCTCCAAATATTCCATAGTCTTAGTTAAAAACCAGCCTCCCCTTCACTGAGGAAATGGAGCATCCTCCAGGTGCGCCTGCAGCTCCTCTCTTCCCTACTTCTGAGCTTCTCTGTATTTCATCTCTCTATTCCTTGCCAAGGTTAATTCTTCACTTCCTCCAGGACTTCGTGCCAGCAATTAATCCCTCTCTCCTGTTTGCTCAGCCTCTGCCCTTTTGGCTACTTCCTATTTGCATATAAATGAATTTCCCAACCCTAAAATAAAAGTCCTTTCCCCCACACTCTATCTACTCCATCTTTCCTTTTCTTCTTTTTTTTGACCTTTATTTTTTAATTTAAAAAAAATAATGAACTTATTTATTTTTAGTTTTCAACATTTACTTCCATTAGATTTTGAGTTTTAAATTTTCTCCCCCTCTCTCTCCTCTCCACCTCCAATACCACGTGCAATCTGATATACGCTCTACTTATACATTCACAGTAAGCATATTTTCCCATTAGTCATGATGTAAAGAACAATTAGGACTAACAGAAGGAACCATGAGAATGAAGCAATAAAGCAAAACAAATGAAAAGGAGAGCAGATAGTCTGCTTCCATCTGCATTCAGACTCCATGGTTCTTTCTCTGGATGTGGACAGCATTTTCCATTGTGAGATTTTGGAGTTGTCTTAGATCCTTGCATTGCTGAGAAGGGCCAGGTCTATCAAAGTCAGTCATCGATTAATAGTGTGGCTGTTACTATGTACAACATTCTCCCGGTCCTGCTCATTTCCCTCAGCATCAGACCATACAAGTCTTTCCAGGTTTTTCTGAAGTCCGCCTGTTTATCATTTCTTATAGCACAACAGTATTCCACTACATTCATATACCACAACTTGTTCAGTCATTCCCCAATTGATGGGCATCCCCTCAATTTCCAATTCTTTGCCAACACAATAACAGCTGCTATAAATATTTTAGTACATGTGGGTCCTTTTCCCATTTTTATGATCTCTTTGGAATACAGACCTAGAAGTGGTATTGCTGGGTCAAAGGGTATGCACAATTTTATAGCCCTTTGGGCATAGTTCCAAATTGCTCTCCAGAATGGTTGAATCAGTTGGCAACCCTACCAACAATGCATTAGTGTTCTAATTTTCCCACATCTTTCCCAACATTTATCATTGTCCTGTTCTGCCATGTTAGCCAATCTGACCATCTCCCCTTTTCACTGCCAAATCTCAACACATATGAACGATAAATCAACAACTACAGCTCTAACCATTCTCCTGTTTCAGTCCAACATCTTAAACAGCTTACAGGAATTAAGCATGTCCCAAATTGAATACAATTCCTCCCAAAAACCTGTTCTCTTCCTTCTGACTTTACTATTTTTGTTAATGGCACCATTATACCCCCGTCACCTATGTTCAGAACTTAAGTGTTTTCTTTGATTTTTTTTCCCCTTGCCTTCTCCAGCCAATTAATTGTCATTCCTAAAGTTTTGACCCTGAGAGTCTATCCTGCTCTCTCTCCCTATATTACCTTCCTTGTTCAGGTCTTCCTCTACTACATACCATCTAGCTGGCCTTGCTGCCCCTCCTCTTTTAGCCCTTCAATACCTTTCAGACTTCTACTAGCCTTATCTTCCCCAATGATTTTGCTCAAAACAGCTTAATGGTTCCCTATCATTTATGAAATGAAGATCAAATTCCTTAGCCTCATATTCAAGACTTCCCAGAATATGACGCCCCTCCACCTTTCTAGGCTTGTCTCACGCTATTCCTCTGCACATGTGCTATGCTCCAGCCAAACCAGACTCCTCCCTTATCCCCCATCCAGGTCCTATGCTGTCTCACCTCTATGCCTTTACTTGTTATGTTCTATATACATGGAATGCCCTTATCACCTCTGCCTCTTAAAACCCCAGCGATGATCAATAGAACAAATTAGGTATGCAACATACAGAAGCAAACAAACATATTAGCATAGAGTTCACAAAATCCAAATACCTCCCCATCCACACTATTTGACAAAAATGTTTGAGAAAAATGAAAAGCAGTCTGGCAGAAATTAGGTACAGACCAGCGTCTCACACCATATACCAAGATAAGCTCCAAAGAGATGCATGACTTAGACATAAAAGGTCACATCATTAACATAATAGAGAAGCAAAGAAGAAAATGACTTTTACAACTATGGATAGGTTCGTGACTAAACAGAGGATAGACAAAATCACAGAAGATAAAATGAACAATTCTAATTACCTAAAATTAAACATTTTTTTTTGGGCTAGGCAATTGGGGTTAAGTGACTTGCCTAGGGTCACACAGCTAGTAAGTATCTGAGGCTGGATTTCAATTCAGGTTGTCCTGACTCCAGGGCCAGTACTCTATTCACTGCACTACCTAGCTGCCCCCTAAACATTTTTTGCACAAACAAAATCAATGCAGGTAAAATTTGAAGGAAAACAGTTAATTGGGGAAATATATATATATGTGTATGTATATATCTACATATATTTATCATATGTAAGTATGTGCATATGAGTGTATATATATATGTATATATGTAGATATAGATATAACATAGATATACATTCAGAGGAAGAAATCCAAATTGTTAACAACCATATGAAAAATGCCCCAAATCACTAATAATCAACAAAATGTAAATTAAAATAATTCTATCTTTCAACCTTACAACTATCCAATTGAAACACGACAAAAAAGGAAAATGACAATTATTGAGGAGGGAGGTTTCTTCAAGAAGACGCTGGTGAAGCTGTGAACTGGTACATTCGTGGGAACTGTCATTCTGGAAAGCAACTTGGAATAAGCAAAGTCACTGAAGCGTATGTGGTCTTTGACCCAGGGATACCACTAGGAGGCTTACACCTCAAAAAGACCCAAGAAAAGCAAAAAGGATCCATGTGTATAAAACTATGGTAGCTTTTTTTTTATAGTAGCAAAGAACTAAAACTAAGAGGGTGACTTTCAATTGAGGAGTGGGTAAAGAAATCATGGATATGAATGTAATGGAATATTATTGTTCTGTAAGAAATAATGAAATAAACCATTTCAGAAAAACCTAGGAAGACTTTAGAGTGAAGTCAGAGACCAAGAACAATTTATACAATCACAACAATATTGTAAAGAAAAACAACTTTGAAAAACTTAAGAATTCTTACTAATAAATAGCTAACCACAATTCCAGAGCACTGATGATGAAGCATACTACTCACCTTTTCACAGAGAGGAGATGGACGTAAGATGCAGAATTTTCATACATTTCATACATTTTCAGATACAGCCAATGTTGGGATTTGGTTTTTGACTATGCATATTTGTTATAAGGGTTTTTGTTTTTCTATTTTTTCAATAGGAAGAAAGATGAGAAGAAGAGAGAGTTGGCATGGGAATGCCCCTGCCCCCAAGAGAAAAAGAAAGAGCATAATTTAAGTATTTTTTAAAATGTACATAAAACACAAAAAGGCCAGAGGAATTACAGACAGGAGGACAGCTCGGAAGATAACGGGTGTAATTCCATAGATAGATAGATAGATATAGACACATACACACACACATCACATACGTGTGTGTGTGTGTGTGTATGTGTAGACAGCTAGCTAGTTAGCTATACATAACAGAGATTTACACGTGTTTCACATACAATCTTTTTCCTGTTCTGTATAGGGAAATTTTTATTTCATTTGGCTTTTCCTCAGTTGCCAACTCCTCCAGGAAAACTTACTTGATTCCTTCAGCCAAAGACAACCCTGCTTCCTCAACCCTGAACAGTTAAGTCATCGTGCATTTATTAAGTGCTTACTGAGAGCCAGGCATCGTGCAAGTATTGAGAATACAAAGAAAAGCAAAAGACAGTTCCGGCTCTCTAGAAGCCCACAAGCCAGTGGTCAAGACAAAATGCAACTATGTGCAGCAAGATATGGACAGGCTAAGGTGGAGATAATCTCAGAGGGAAGCACTAAGATTGAGGACTGGGGAAGGCTTCTGGCAGATGGTGGGACTTTTGCTGAGATTTGAAGGAAGCCAGGGCGCAGGAAAGAGGAAGAAGAACCGTATAGATGTGGCCATAGCCAGCCAGTAAACATGCACAGTTGTCAGGAGACAGTGACTTAGGTGAGAAGCAGCAAAGAGGCCTATGTACTGGATCACAGAATATGTGGAGGTGTGTAAGGTGTAAGAAGACTGGAAAGGTTAGGATGTGGCCAGCCAATGAAGGTCTTTTTTTTTTTTTAGGCAGTTGGGGTTAAGTGACTTGCCCAGGGTCACACAGCTAGTACATGTCAAGTGTTTGGTCTGAGGCCGCATTTGAACTCAGGTCCCTCTGACTTCAGGGCCGGTGCTCTATCTACTGCGCCACCTAGCTGCCCCCAATGAAGGTCTTTAAAAGCCTAACAGAGGATTTTATATTTGACCCTGGAGGTAATAGGGGGCCATTGGAGTTCAGTGTATAAAAAATATTTGCTATTATTATTTATTGAATAATATTTGGTTTGGACAGTGAGCTGTGTGACCCTGGGCAAGTCATTTAACCCAGTTTGCATCAGTTTCCTTATCTGTAAAATAAGTTGGAGAAGGAAATGGCAAATCA